CTAATCGGATCTATCCCCTTCCTCCTTGTGTCTCCTCAGAGTTTGGTTCTATACATACCCCTCTCCCACTGTATTTCTCTGGAGACTCACTCCATGGTCACGCACTGCCTACTCAATCTTTCTCCCTCCTGTACTCGTCTCTAAGAAGTCAGGAGCTGTAGTAAACCCCTTGCCTTATCCCCAGGGCTCGGTACATGCAGACTCAGTGCTTAGTTACGTTGTTTGGGTGGAGGAACAGATCCATGGGGGAAGGGCCGGAGTCTTGCCTTGCTTGTCTCCTGCAGGTGTTTTTGGGCCCTAGACCCCACACTCACTACCCTTTCCTAAGCATTGCCAACATTTGAGTGTCAGCAGCAAGGAGCGGCCTTCTAGATGGGAAAAATCACTGGTCCCCTTAAGCCAGTGTATCCAGTGTCCTCTGTTGTAAGCTGTTCATGCAAAATAGAAGCCCAAGTCTTGGCAGTGGCCTTCAAGGTCCTGCCAGATCACCTCACTCAACTCCTACGACCGTTCTGACGTTTTCTGCAGTGCAGGCATTCCTGTACCTCTGCTCTAGCCACAAGGGCCTCCTTGCTGATGGTTGAGAACACTGGGCTCACAGTCTTTCCAATTGCCCAGAACGCTAGAGTCTTCTACTTCCAGGGTCTTGACCTAAAAGTCATCTATTCAGCGATGCTTAGCTCATCGCTTGTTTGCTTTTTTAAGATGTATTTATTTATTTGAAAGTCAGAGAGAGAGAGGGAGAGGCAGAGACAGAGTCAGACAGAGAGATCTTCCATCTGCTGATTCATTCCCTAGATGGCCACAATGGCCTGAGCAGAGCCAGGCCGAAAACAGGAGCCAGAAGCTTCTTCTGGGTAGCCCAAGTGAGTGGCAGGGGTCCAAGTACTTGAACCATCCCCTGCTGCTCTTCTAGGCCATTAACAAGGAGCTGAATTCGAAGTAAAGCAGCTGGGACATGAACTAGTGCCCATAAGGGATGCCAGCGTCACATGGTGCTGCACGATGCCAGTCTCTAGATCATAGTTCTAAGGCTTTAAAAAAAGCAGCACAGGGGCCAGCATTGTGGTGCAGTGGGCGAGGCTGTCATTTTCGCCTACATCCCATACTAGAGTGCTTCTTTGAATCTCATTGTTCTGCTTCTGATCCAGCTCCCTGCCAATGTGCCTGGGAAAGCTGTGGAAGATAGCCCAAGCACTTGAGTCCCTATCACCCATGTGGGAGACTGGATGGAGTCCTGGCTCCTGGCCTCAGCCTGCTCTAGTCCCAGCTGTTATGGTCATTTGGGGAGTGAACCAGTGGATGGAGCTCTCTTTCTGTCTCTCCATCTCTATATCACTCTACCTTTCAGATAAATACCATGCTATTTTTCCTTTTAAAAATCAGAACAAATAATACAACCCATAAAACAAACATTTCAATTTAAACAACTATAAGTAGATATTTTTCTAAAGAAGATATACAAAAGGCCAATAAGCACATGAAAAAAATGTTCAATATCATTTATCACCAAGGAAATGCAAACCAAAACTACACTGAGATGTCACCTCCCACTCTCAACAATGAATATTATTAAAAAAATAGAAAAGAGCAAATGTTGACGAGGATGTGGAGAAACTGGAATGTGAGCACCATTGGTGGGAAAGTAAAATGCTGCAGCAACTATGGAGAACAATACGGAGGTTCCTCAAGAAATTAAATAGAACTCCCATATTATCCAATACTTCTAATTCTAGGTATATATATGTAACAGAACTGGAAGTAGGAACTCAGATACTTGTATACCTATGTTCGTAAGAGCATTATTCATAGTGGACAAAAGGCGAATGCAACTCAAGTGTCTGTTTAGAGACGAATGGATAAGCTATGGGATATACACTCATGAGATGAGTATTACAAAGGAAGGAGACCCTGACACACGCTACAGCATGGCTGACCTGTCAGGACATCATGCTAAATGAAATAAGCTAGGCACAAAAAGACAAACATCGCATGATCTACTTATATGAATGGCCAAGTGCTTAGAGACACAATATAAAACAGGGGCCAGCACTGTGACCTAGCAGGTAACGCCGCCGCCTGCAGCACCAACATCCCATATGGGTGCTGGTTCAAGTCCCAGCTGCTCCACTTCCGACCCAGCTCTCTGCTACAGCCTGGGAAAGCAGGAGAAGATGGCCCAAGTCCTTGTGCCCCTGCACCCATGTGGGAGACCTGAAAGAAGCTCCTGGCTCCTGATTGGCCCAGCTGCAGCTGTTGCAGCCATTTGGGGAGTGAACCAGTAGATGGAAGACTTCTCTCTCTGCCTCTCCTTCTCTCTGTAACTCTTTCAAATAAATAAATAAATCTTAAAAAATAAATAAAATATAACAGTGGTTGCCCAAGGCTGAAGGGAGGTAAGAGTGAGGAGTCAGTATTTAAGGAACATAGTGTTTGAGCTTGGAGAGATGAAAAAGTTCTAGAAACAGATAATGGTGATGGTTGTACAACTACACAAATATATGTAATGCCTCTGAACTGTATACCTAAAAATGGTTAAAATGGTAAAATTTTAGGCCATGTATAGTCTGCTACAATTTTGAAAAGAACAAACACAGCTCTTGCCTTAAGCTCTGCTAATCAGCCTAATGCATCGCACAGAAGGGAAGCTTCTGGAACTGAGGCAGGAAGTGGGCAGCCAGGTCACCTGTGCTCTGCACCTTCCTGCTGCCTCCTGAAACCTTGATCCCGAGACCTAGAAGCATCGCAGGGGAGGGTCAGGCTCCATCCTAAGTGCTCCTGTACTGGTTCACCGCTCTTAAGGACAGGGAAGTTAAGAGTTGCCCTCCTCCCCTCCCCCCGCTCCATTTCTAGGAGCTCTAAGGGGTAACTTTTTGCTAAGGCATAAATAAAAAATGCCATCACTGCTGGCCTCATGCCAAATGTCCACACATTGACGTAGCTTTACAGAAATTACTTCACGTCCCTGTGGCAGGGGAGAAACCTCAAGGGGAAAAGCAACATTAAGTCACTGGCACCCATATTCAATTACCGTCAGTGCCTCGCACTTTCTGAGCCCTTTACCATAATAACTCAATCTGCTAAACAATCCTGTCAAGCAGGTATGAAAGGAATTGTGTGGTCTCTGATTCACAAGTGAATAAATACACAAAATTCCGTGGACATAACACACACAGAGGAACTGAAGCGAGATGACTTCAGGGTAACAAGCATTAACATTTATTAATTATGTATTAGTGAAGACACTGGCTCAGTATTTTCCATAGGCTACTGGGTTTTCTGCTTCCAGCCAGCCTCTGTCTACCATTTGGTAGTTGCTGCTGTTAATCCTCTTTGTGGAAGAGAAAAGTGAGGCTGAAAGAAAATCCCCCAACTAAGTAGCTAAGAAGTAGCAGACTGTTGCACTTACATTCTTACATTTTTTTTTTTTAAGTCAGAGAGAGAGAGACACCGATGGAGAGAGTTCCCATCTGCCAGTTCACTCCCCGAATGTCCACAAAGGCCAGGGCTGGGATCGAAGCCAGCAGCTCCTAAGTCTCTCACATGAGAGGCAGGGATCCAACTATTGCAGCCTCCCAGGGTGCACATTAGCAGGAAGCTGGAGTCAGGAGCCAGAGCTGAGAATCCAACTCAGGCCCTCTGATATAGGACACCCACGTCTTAACCACTAGGCCAGACACCCACCCATGCGCTATCATTCTACACTGCCCACCCAGGTCCTATTCTCTGTCCCTCTGGGATGCTAGCGCTCAACAATGGTTCCTTCAGCCTTGATAATAAGTCAAATGGTTGAGCCTCATGGGTCACTATGTGTCTCTAAACCGGCTTAGTAATAATAAAACAAATCCGCACTGTTAGTCTTTTCTGACCATAAATGTGACAAGATACCATTTCATGGGCTGAGAAGATAATCCTAAATCTTTTAAAATCTTATAAAAACTTTTAGACAAAATATTCTCAAGAGCCTGAGACTAACTAGCTGCATTTGCGTTGTTCCATTCCCCGTCTCCTGATTTTCCTGGCGAACGCCTCTCCATGGGACTGAGTGGCCTGATGGGCCCAGTGTCTACCACTCCTTCCCCTGCCCAGTGGCTTCTTCAGAACTGCCGAGGATAGGTCTGCTTTACAGTCCCGAAACCGGAGAGAGGAGGCACGCTTTGTGCTTTGTCAACAGGGCATGCAGTCTGCAGGGCCACCTACGGGTTGCAAGGGCTTTGGGCCAATTGGAACAAAGATGAATCTGGAAGAGCGTCAGGCCCATAGGCGCCTGCTGACCAACTCTGATGGACAGGCAAAGGGAAGAAGGGGGTCAAGTCATAACAGGGCTCCAGGCCAACAGTTATGTCCACCCACTCACAGGGGCTCCTGGATATTGCCTTCACAAAGACCTAGATGTGGTTTCTGTGAAGCCACCAAACACTGCACCTGTCAATGCTTACACCACCTGCTATGTGTGCTCTAACTACCTCAAGTGGTAAAAATGCAAGCACCAGGGCCGGTGCTGTGGTGTAGCAGGTAAAGCCGCTCCCTGCAGGGCCGGCATCCCATGTGGGCGCCGGTTTGAGTCCCAGCTGCTCCAGTTCTGATCCAGCTCTCTGCTATGGTCTGGAAAAGCAGTGGAAGATGGTCCAAATCCTTGAGCCCCTGTACCCACATGGGAGACCAGGAAGAAACTCCTGGCTCTGGAGTAGCCATCTGGGGAGTGAACCAGCGGCTGAAGACCTCTCTTTCTCTCTCTGCCTCTGCCTCTCTGTAACTCTGCCTTTCAAATAAACAAATCTTTAAAAAAAAAAAAATGCAAGCAGCAACTCATTGTCCAGGGGTCACCTCCAGTGTGGAATGTGTGAGACTGAAGACCCACTCCCCACCCCCCACTAACCCTGGGAACACAGCTTCTCTCAGCTTCAGCCCTGCCCGGGGCTAAGGCCAAATGCCTTCCAGTGGGCCCAGGTGCGTGCACTGCTCCCCGCCGGGGGAACGAAGGATGCAGTGGGTCTTACCGAGTTCTCCTTTAGCTGCAGCCCTTCCCCGTTGGGAAGAGAGGACCGCCTCTTCGAGTTCCTATTTGGGGTTGAGGTCACGGCCCCTGCCTTCTTCTTCACGGTGAGCACTTCGCAGCTGGCTTGGTCTTCGTTGTGTGTGCTCTTCCCGGCATTGATGACCCTGCAGAAGAGCCAAGGCAGCGGGTCAGACAGAGCCAGGTCCAGAACGCGAGCACTCAGTCCTGTCCTGGGGGCCGCTGCAGTGGACTCCACAGCCCGCACGACACCAACACCCTACTGCACCCCGAGGATCGGAGAACCTTGGTGTTTTACGTTCCTGGATTTTCAAAAAGTAGAATTCTATTAGCACCCGTTAAAACATTCACCACATACGTTGATCTGCACTCATTCGCCTCCACAGGTGTCTGGGAGATGTGATCAACCCCACTGACCCATGCTAGTCAAAACACATGAGGCAATCACTCTCTCAGTTTAATTTGGCACCTGGGCATTTGGGCAATCAAAATGAAGACAGATAGGGTGGCTCGGGGAATTGTGGTTCCTTTGTCCAAGCACAAAACTACCATTGATCTTATCAAAACACACAGCAGTAGCCTACAGCACCCTGCAAAGTCCGAGAACTGTATTTCACGATGCCTTCCTGTTTTTACTTGACACGCAGGAACGTGGATCAAAACTGCACTCTCCTTTTTAAAAAACTTATTGACTTGAGAGACAGAAGATGATCTCTCATCTATGGGTTCACTGCTCAAATGTCCACAATAGCTATGTATCGGCCAGGAGCCAGGAACTCAAGCCAGGTCTCCCACATGTGTGGCAGGGACCCAAGTACGCGTAGCACTGCTCTCTCTCAGGGTCTGCATCAGTAGGCAAACTGCAGTCGGGAGCCAAGCTGGGTATTGAACCCAGGTACTCAGATATGGGGGTTAAATTCCTGCCCTCAAGGCTTACTCTTTTTAAAGCATCTTTATCTTTTTCCATACAGAGTAATAGTCACCACACACTATCCTCACACTGGGCTACAAGGTACTGTGATTTGGACAAGACAGCTAATAGTGAATGACATCAGAGCATGTTGACTCTGACTTGGTCTAACGACCAAAATGTCAAGTATATGAGTGCCTAGGAGAAACAGGCCGCACGATTCATACACCTTTCTTGTTTCAGGTGCCTGCGCACTCATATCCTGGGTTTCAGCACTGTTTTCTTACTAAGTAGCTAAGCAGCTGCCAAACTGCATCTCCTGCCAGAGAGCTCTCCTTGATTTGCCTTTGGCTGTGTTTGCTTTTCAAAAATTTCAACGGGGTCCACAGTGGCTGACAGAGTCAGAGTAGAGTTCAAAAAACTCAGACGTGAAAAGGGAAAAGATGGCCCCCTTTTTTTTTTTTTCAGGTAAATTACAAAGGAATTCACTCTGCAAGTGTGCTTTGTACACTGTTCTATGAACCTGGCTGCAAATCCTAACAGTTAAATGAAAGATTATCAAGTTCAAATGACTTTTTAAAAACAAGTTTAAATTCTGCAATGATTATAGACCCAGAATAAGTTGCAGAAATAGTAGAGCCCTATGTGCCCTTCACCCAATGTGCATAACAATAACATATTATATAATCAAAGCACAGAGTCAAAATCAAGAAATTAACATCAATACGGTACTGGCACCCACATTACAGACATTATTAAGATTTTACAACCAATAGCTTGTAGTACTGAAAATTGTCCAGATCTCCATAAACCAACATGAACGTACATGTCATAACTAAGTAACAGAGAGAAAGCAAATTGAAAAGTGAACGCCAAGATCCAGGGGAGTATGCTTCAGGCAATCTTCTGCCAAGCCCTGGGATTTTTATGGAGGTGTCTCAGATGTTTTAACAATTTGCTTAAAATTTATACTTTTTATGTGAATAAGCATTTCTTAAAGAATTCAGTAATTTAAGGTTCACTCCCATCCAGCCATGTGAAAAAATTCATTAGTCTGCATATTTGGGGCAGTATGGGGTACAATAAGCCTTCAATTGACCAGTATCATTTGATGGCAAGGAGAACTATTAAAAAATTAAATTAGCATTTGCAAGTGCTTATCTGCATGCTGTAAGAAAAAGACCTGCCAGTCTTCTATAATCTCCCATATTTCAAATGCCTGCATCAAAATTGTTCTTAGTTTTATGATAAATGTCAATGTAGGCATATTTTTTGTAAAGTTATTCTAATTTTATTGCTATTTGCTAAGCTTTTTTTTTTTTTTTCTGACAGACAGAGTGGACAGTGAGAGAGAGAGAGAGAAAGGTCTTCCTTTGCCGTTGGTTCACCCTCCAATGGCCGGCGCACCGCGCTGATCCGATGGCAGGAGCCGGGAGCCAGGTGCTTTTCCTGGTCTCCCATGTGGTGCAGGGCCCAAGCACCTGGGCCATCCTCCACTGCACTCCCTGGCCACAGCAGAGCGCTGGCCTGGAAGAGGGGCAACCGGGACAGAATCCGGCGCCCCGACCGGGACTAGAACCCGGTGTGCCGGCGCCGCAAGGCGGAGGATTAGCCTAGTGAGCCGCGGTGCCGGCTAAGTTTTTTTTTTTTTTAAAGACTATTTATTTGAAAGTCAGAGTTAGAGGACAGGCAGAGAGAGAGAGGTCTTCCATCCACTGGATCACTCCCCAATTGGCCGCAACAGCCGGAGCTGTGCCGATTTGAAGCCAGGAGCTTCCTCCGAGTCTCCTGTGTGGGTGCAGGGGCCCAAGGACTTGGGCCATCCTCCACTGCTTTCCCAGGCCATAGCAGAGAGCTGGATCGGAAGAGGAGCAGCCAGGACTAGAACTGGCGCCCATATGGGATACCGGCGCTTCAGGCCAGGGCGTCAACCCGCTGTGCCACAGCACCGGCCCCTAAGCTTTCTTTTTAACAGGAGATGGCGTGCATAGGCAGGTGGGAGTCTGTGCCAGTCTCTGTGAGGTCAGATTGGCCTCCAGTGCCTGTCACCGGCTGGCAAGGGCTGAGGGGTGGCCAATGGAGGCTTTCATATCTGTTCTCTTGCTCTGCCTTTGCCCTCGCCTCTAAAAGCCACTTTGGTATGGCTGGAGAATAAGACGAGGTTCTTGAAGTACCAAGGAGGCCACTACCTGCATGAAGGATCACCACCATCAGGCTTACTGCCCCAGCCAGGTAACACAGCTGCAGTGTAGAAGTAGGCCTACCTTGGCCCCCAGTGCAACATCTTCCTGGCACACAAAGGGACATCAGCCTGAGGCAGGCCAAGCTGGACTGGGATAGCAAACACAGAATAAACAGATTTGGCAAGGTTTGGCCCAGGCCTGAGAGAGGTGGGCGTTGTATCCCTGCTTCTCTGGCTACTGCAGGCGTTAGGAAAGGCCCAGGGAAGGCAGAAGGTTGGGTCCCTCGTATGTTCCTGTCCCTAGTTATGCTGCTCTTGCTTAACCTGGGCCACATCGCCAGGGACAACAGCTGGGGCTCACGATGTAGAAGATGCTCCTGTCTGCAGTGGCCCTTCTGCGTGTGCCCTTGGAGAACCCAACCAGGCAGTGGAAGGAGGTTCAAACTACTGCCTGCCCCTTCTCAGCTGCTCGGAGTGACTTCCCCTGCGGCGTGTCTTGGGTGCAGTGTTTACCTGATGGTGCTATTAGACCGCCTGGGTCTCCCAAGTAAGTGCCTTCCCTAGGGCGAGGTGCGTGGAGGCTGGGCTGGGTAAGACAGTTCATGATGAGCTTCCCAGCACTGCCCTCGGGATGGGATCCCTGTGGACCACTGGCCCTTAATCTTGTGTTGTGCTCACGTAGTTTGTTCTTTGGCTTTTAGTCACGTGACAGGCTGACTCCTCTGTCACTCTGACAGTCAACGAAGCTCCTATAATTACCCAAACCACAAGTCACTGTCCCCTAAAAGTGCTTCATCTCCTGTCTCTTCTAGAGCATGTGGAACTCCAGCGAGGACCGAACTTCAGCAAGAGTCCGAGGAACCTTATTTTAGGCTGAGAAACCTGGGGCCCTGGAAGACTGCAGCTTGCCCGAGGTGACAGCTAAATACGGCCGAGCTGTGAACACACCTCTCTGAGTTGGAGCTCCTTCTGCTTCAGCTCTCAGCCTGTTGCATTGTCCTATCGTGCAGCTATTCTTGTGGGCACTTGGTTCAGAAGTGTGTGTTTCAATGACTCAGCAGAGCTAGAGAACCGAAAAAGACAATGCCTGTGACCCTGCTTCACTGTTCCATGTTGAATACGGCTTGTGACTGAGACTAATGAGATATCAGCAAGTCAGAAACGTCAGTCTAGTGGGAACACAGCACCACTACCTCCGTAAGCCGGTCTGGGAAGATATCTGATTATTATCCGTGTGATAAAGGCTAATTTAAATATTATTTAAATATCAATCTAAGTTATTACTTTTTTCATTTTAATTAAAGGATTAAAAAAAAAAAAAAAAAAAAAAAGAGGGGCCAGTGCTGTGGTGCAGTGGGTTAAAGCCCTGGCCTGCAGTGCCAGCATCCTATATGGGCACCGGTTCGAGTCTGGCTGCTTCACTTTTGATGAGGCTCTCTGCTATGGTCTGGGAAGGCAGCAGAATATGGCCAAAGTCCTTGGACCCCTGCACCCACATGGGAGACTGGGAAGAAACTCCTGGCTCCTGGCTTCAGATCAGCCCAGCTCTGGCCGTTGCAGCCATCTGGGGAGTGAATCAGTGGATGGACAATTTCTCTCTGCCTCTCAAATAAATAAATAGACAAATAAATAAAAGTTTGGCTAGAATGGGCATTTGGCCTAGGTGTTAAGAAGCCTGCAACCCACATTGAGCCTGGATTCAATTCCTGGCTCCAGCTCTCAAACCCAGCTTCCAGCTAATGTGGACCTTGGGAGGCAATGGTGATAGCTCAAGTTACTGGGTCCCTGACACCCATGTGGAAGACCTAGACTGAGTTCCTGGCTCTTGGCTTTGGCCTGGCTCAGTCCCAGTCATTGCTAGGATTTGGGGAGTGAACAGTAGATGAGAATGTTCTCTTAATTTCTCTCTCTCTTTAAGAGAACATCAACCACCATCAACTTAAACATTTTACTTTGTTCTTCGAAAGTGAATGCCTTGCTTACTAAGTCATGGATTTCCCTAATGTAAACACTTGTGTCAGGAACTATACTCCCTTCCTGTCCTATGCTCTAGG